GGTGGATGAGTTGTTCGACTAGGTGAAACTAGGAACGTAGCTTAGAAAGTTCGACCTTTTGATACAACGGTCTATACTCCTATATCGATGCCTGACTCGTAGATGACGAGCGAGGGCTTATGGACAGTGCGTCGTCCTGAAGATCGAGCGAGGAAGTCGAGAATGACCACTACCCCAAGTGAAGAGGAGCAGAGACTTGAATGAATAACCAGGTCGAACTTAGGGTTCGACCGACTAATGGTACAACTACTTATACAAGTACCAACTGCGCACGGACCATCGTGTCTATGTGGTCGTGTTAGTGAAGAAAGAAACGTAGTGGTACGATACCAGGCACGAAGTGCGCACGGACCCCATTATGTAAGCTACATAATGTTCAACCTGCGGGTGAGCGCTAAGACAGGCACCAGTATGGGCGCTAGTAGTACAAGGAATAGAACGGAAAGACAAATGTTTCAACGGGACTGTCTGGACATACAATGCGCAAGATGCGGAAAGGAAGCCCCTGGACACCTGGAGCAAGAGTGTGGAACCAGGCCGATGAAGTGACACGTATCTGCACCACCTGAAGAGCCTGCGTGACGCGTGGGGGTGGTCGTCGACAACATGTTCGTCGAAGAAATCATCAACGAGGCGAAGGAGAGGAAGGAAAGAGAGAGGCAGACGAAAGCGGTACCCATCCCTCCACTGCGCAGTGCCAACCCCAAACCCCAAGACAGTCCCATCGCGGGATCCTCACACCCCTGCCCCAATACACCTGTCGTCTTTCGCAAAGTCGACCCCAACTGGACACCCGACACTACTCAATGGACGTGGGACAGCTCCTGGCCGCGTCAGGAGCACCTCTCTGGCGAGGAATGGAAGAATGTGGGGAGGAACACGTGCAATGAGTGGTTCGATGAACAGGAGGACAATGGCATAGACTGGGAGTTGTATGGAGATGGTGAGCAGTAAGTAGTTGAATGGGACTTCGACTCTGGTAGGGGGGTAATGAAACATTTGTCTTTCCGTTCTATTTCTTGTACTACTAGCGCCCATACTGGTGCCTGTCTTAGTGCTCACCCGCAGGTTGAACATTATGTAGCTTACATAATGGGGTCCATGCGCACTTCATACCTGGTAATGTACCACTACATTTCTTTTTTTCCTAAACACGACCACACAGATACAGTGGTCTGTGCGTAGCCGGTACTTGTATAAATAGTTGTACCATTAGTCGGTCGAACCCTAAGTTCGACCTGGTTATTCATTCAAGTCTCTGCTCCTCTTCGCTTGGGGTAGTGGTCATTCTCGACTTCCTCGCTCGATCTTCAGGACGACGCACTGTCCATAAGCCCTCGCTCGTCGTTTATGAGTCAGGCATCAATACAGGAGTATAGACGGTTGTATCAAGTACTGGGTCCCACGTGAACTGCGAACTCTGGTGTTACTTCGGGTGCCATAGTATAAGCTAGATAGCAACAACCTTTCATAGTACGTGCACCCCCCCTTCCTTCCTCTCATCATTGTGGTCAACAAGTTCTTTGACTACTCTAGGCTTGAGCACGTGTTCGACACACAGGAACAACTCGATGTCTCACATGACAACCCAGACAGCGATGGGACAAAAGCTCCTTTCTTCATCTGTGACTGACAGCCATGTCCTAGTCGCACTCCACGATCCATCACCGCTGAGGAAGGATGCTATGCACCAATCAGATGGGTCCAGCACCCCAAAGATCCAGCTCTCCGATACACATCATCGAGGTCTACCTCCCATCACATCGCTCCCATTCCATTCCTACCCGCATCCCCTGGCACCTGTGTCCCCCAACCTGTCGCCAGTACAAGTCAAACACGAGGAGACCCTGATTGCCCTCAAGCAGTTGCAGCAGTTGCAAAGCCTGCAGCGCCCGCTCAAGCCACACAGCCCCAGCCCTCCTTGGGGCCATGGGTGGAAATTGTCCCGAAGTCTGAGCCTAGCAACCATGCAGAGATTAGTTGGGCCAGCTTGTCGTCTGTGGTCCCCTCCTCGTCTTCAATCTCTGTCGTACATAACCCCGCCTCCGGACTTCCTCCATCGCCTCCACCACCGTCGCCACCGCGAGGCCGCTTGTGCACTTGCTCCCCTTGAAGTCCAACCAGCGGACAATCACAACCACTGACTCCGTCCCCGGGCCGTTCTCTGTCCCCCCCCACCGCTGATAATGTTGTCCCCAGCTCCTCCTGACAAGGAGGTAATAAAGCACCTCATCCCACTTCGCTACAATGGAAAGACAGTAATTGAGTGCAACTGCTTCATCTCACAGTTGCTCATCTACTGGCAGGTCAACACTTCCCTCACCACCATCAAGCTCAAAGTTCAAATCGTGCTGAGCCTGCTTGATGGTGATGCTCGCACTTGGGCCACCCCAATCTTCGCCCAGCTCGCAGCAGTCCAAGTCGGGGTGCAAGGGGCAGTAACACCATTCACTGATGTCAGGACCTTCATCACGGCCTTCAAAGACCGCTTTGGCAATCTCGACAACACTGCTGCTGCACAGGTGGAGCTCTCCAAGCTCTGTGCCAACAAATCAATGCATGAAAAGTGCATGGCTGCAGAGTTCTCAGCGCTGTTCAAGGGTCCAGTGGACCATTCTGGGTATGGTGACCTGGAACTCCGTGACAAGTACCTGAGTGGCATCCCCTCCTGCGTATACCGCACAATCGAGCTCGAGACGTTCACCATGTGGGTAGCCGCTGACCAGCGTGCCACCAAAGTCGAACAGCAACTTGACATCAGCCAGGCCCATCAGCCCGAGTTGAATGACTTCTCCTCGGCTTGAGGAGGAGGGCGCGGCAGGGCACGAGGTGGTGCACCCTGGTCACAAGGTGCTTCGGCCAGCATCAATGTGGCTATCGGAAAAGGAGACTCCCCCAGCAGTTGCTATGGCTGCAGGAAGAAAGGGTACCGACACTTTGAGTGCCCTGATTGTAAGGACAAGCCTTACACCAAACACGCCCATGTGCGGGCTATGGTTGCCTCGGGTTCCACCCAGACTACGACAAGTGCCCCCATCGCTTCATCCTCGGCAGGTACAAGTGCCGCTTCAGGAAGTCCAGAGAAATCTGAGATGCTGGTGGCCTTGATGGCACAAGTGAAGTCCATGCATGAGGAGCTCAAGCACTATTGGGCGATGAAAGAGGAGGGTTTTTGATCTGGTCCGCGCTTTGTGCTGCACATGTCAGACCCCGTAATAGCAATCTGTACAATGTACTGGTGACTGCGAATGTGTACGAGTTGGACCATGGGTCCCAGCATTTCCACATTCCAGTGCACCTCAAAGGAGAAAGATGGCACAAGGACATAGTCGCAATGGTGGACAGTGGAGCCACCATGAAGTTTATCAACAAGTGTTTCATCCAGGAGAATCGAGTACGAACACGGAAATTGAAGGAACCAATTCCGCTATACAATATCAATGGAACGCTCAACAAAGATGGAAGCATCTCGGAAGTAGCCGTACTACAGATGCAGATAGGAGAACATGTCGAGAAGACGGTGTTCATGGTCACGGACATAGGTCCAGAGGATGTGATTGTTGGGTTGGATTGGCTATGCGAGCACAACCCTGAAATAGATTGGGAGAACGGCTCTCTCAAGCTGTCACGATGCCCTGAAACGTGCGGGGCTAGGAAAACTAACCGAATGGAGCACACAGCGACTGCACATGATATGGGGGTCAGGCCCACAGCGCGCAGGTGTTCGCCAAAGTCCAAACAGTCAGTCATCGGTGCCTGCCGAAGTAAGGTACTCCCAGACTTCAAACCCGAAGATGATCCGGAGGAAATAGAGTGGACAGAAACTGACTTGATCGAAGCCTGGGAGCAAGGTATCACACTTCCCGGCGCTCCTCAGCTGTTTGTCGCAGCAGGGCATACATACTCCCAGCTGTTTGCTGAGGAAGAAATCAAGAAGAAGGTCGTTAAGACCACCGAGGAGTCAGTACCAAAGCAGTACCACGAGTTCCTGAACATCTTCTCCAAGGAAGCATCAGAACAGCTACCCAAAAGGAAGCCATATGACCATGTGATTGAACTTGTGCCTGGCTACTTGACATTCCACTTGAAAGTGTATCCACTATCAAATGATGAGCAGGAGGAACTGGACAAGTTCCTAAAGGAGCAGCTTGTGAAAGGCTACATACAGGAGTCAAAGTCGCCCATTTCATCCCCCTTTTTCTTCATCAAAAAGAAGGAAGGAACACTTCGACCCATACAAGACTACCACCGGCTCAATGCGATCACTGTCAAAAATCGCTATCTGCTGCTGCTAATCACCGAAATGATAGATAAGCTCCGCGGCGCTATGCTCTTCACGAAGTTTGACGTTAGGTGGGGATACAACAATGTTTGGATCAAAGCCAGTGATGAATGGAAGGTTGCCTTCGTAACTAACTGGGGACTGTACGAACCCCTGGTGATGTTCTTCGGCCTCACCAACTCCCCCGCGACCTTCCAGGCCATGATGAACAAAATCTTCCATAATCTCATCATTGGCGGAAAGGTCCTCATGTACCTGGATGACATACTCATCTTCTCCACCAATAAGGAGGAGCATGAGAAGGTCACATGCAAGGTTATTTGTCACCTTCAGGATAACGATCTGTTCCTGAAGCCTGAGAAGTGCGAATGGGATGTTTCCGAAGTCGACTACATCGGCTATGTGTTCAGTGGCAATGAGGTGACAATGGATCCTGGAACAAAAAAGATGTTCAGAAGTTCCAGGGGTTCTCCAACTTCTACCGCCATTTCATTAAGGACTTCACTAAGATCTCGTGACCACTCGACCAACTCACAGGAAACAACCCTTGGTATTGGGGAGATGAAGAGCAGCATGCCTTCAATGAGCTCAAATGGCTCTTCTTCACAACCCCGGTTCTGGCTCTGTACAACCCTAATTGGGAGACGTGCATTGAGGTTGACACCTCAGGGTATGCCACTGGTGGTGTGTTGATGCAGAAGCAGGATGTCAGCAAATGGCACCCGATTGCCTTCCGATCTCATGCTATGGACCCCGCCCAGCATAATTATGAGATCTACAATAAGGAGATGCTTGCGATCATCGAAGTGCTAGATGAATGGCACCACTATCTCGAAGGGTTACCCAACCAGTTCGAGATCATGACCGATCATAATAACCTCGAGTACTGGTGCACATCACAGCACCTCACATGTCGTCAAGCGTGATGGTCGCTGTTCCTGGCTTGCTTCGATTTCTGCATCACGCATAAGGCCAGGATGTCAAATGGAAAGGCTGATGCCCTGTCACGTTGATCAGACCATCAGATCGGCGATGAGGATGACAACACCGATCAGATTGTCCTCAAACAGGAGCGCTTCTGCATCGCCGCCACATAGTGTGGGCACACCTTGGTGACAGCCGATCAGTCGCTTCTGAGGCGCATCAGGGAATGTTCGGAGAAGGATCGGGCAGTGGCTGAGGCACTTGAGAAGGTGCAGAACCTCGGGCCGCCCCAGCTACAGAAGGGCTTTGAGGGGTGGAATGCCGAACAAGGGCTTCTGTTGTTCCGCAGATGTGTATATGTCCCAAAGAACACAGAGCTCCGGCGGGATATTGTCAAGATCCACCACGACTCGCTGATCGCCGGTCATGGCAGTCATGCCAAAACCCTCGAGCTCGTGTCACAGAACTACTGGTGGCCAGGGATGTCCAAATTTGTCAATGAGTACGTAAGCACCTGCAATGTGTGCAACCATACCAA